GAAGTTTTCTTTTTTACTATGATGTATTGAAAATACGGCGGAGGTGTATTTGATCACGTGTGATTAAAACGATGATTTATTTTAGCCAGAAATGAAACCTCCCCTAACCCCGTGAACCAAATACAACGCCAAAAATACTTGTTATAATCATATTCCTAATAAATTCTTATGTTACTGTTAATCAAGAAGAAACTAAATACAATCTTTTTTGGTCTAGCTACAGTTTAGAGGACAATCTTTTTAACTTTGTTGCTGGTTTTAGTTAAATTAGAATTTGTCGATATTAATTGAGTTTAATAAAGTATAATATCATATCTTGAATATAAACAGAAGACTCTTGTTATTAAAGAGGCTAATAACAACATTTATCTAAAAAAAGTTATCCTACAAACAAAGAAATACTTAGTATAAATAAAAAAAGCAGCTCAATCAGATTACATTGTTTCATTGTTTTTAAAACCTTTAACTAGATTTACATCATGACCTTTTGAAAGTAGCTCCACTTCTTTTGAAACTGACAATCCAAAACCTGATTGTAATTGAAATTATCATTTTAACCCAGTTGAACTATGACCTGAAAACCTTTTCATGTCGATTTTATGATTTTATTCACCTTCACATATCTTTCATTAATTTTTGTGGACTGTTTTCAATTTGTGGCGAGGTTTTTATTTCTTTTCAATTAAATATCGCCGAATAAAATGTATACTGTATTTCATTAAAAAATAACATAAAAAAATTATGGCTTAGCTATAGAATAACTCCTATAAATTAAAAAATAGAGCAAAATGCTGTAAGTTAAGATATTTTATTAAAGAAAAAAAATTTAACATTAATATATTGGGTTGTGGGATAGTTAGAATCATAAGATATTGTTCGTATAAGTTAAAACGTTTAATGATAAATGAAAAGATTTTTTAACTTTTAAAGATATTTAATAATTTATATATATATATATATATATATATATATATATATATATATATATATATATATATATATATATATATATATATATATATATATATATATATATATATATAAACAATTTTAAAAAGTATTCCATAAAATAGAGTGCTCAATGTTCTTACAAGAACAGAGTAATAATAAAGTAGTAGAAAATCACTTAGCAAAAAAAATTTTTTCATTCATTTAACAGTGTTTCAATAAAGACTCATCCGAAAATGGAGTCTTTATTGATGAAACACAGTGTTAAATAAATGAAAAAAAATTTTTTGCTAAGTGATTTTCTACTACTTTATAATTGCTCTGTTCTGTTAAGAACATCGAGCCCTCTATTTTGTAGAATACTTTTCCAAACTGTTTAAATATATATCCCAGTTAAACATTCTAACTGGGTCCCAGCTGGGACCCATCTGGGTATCTCACATGGGTCCCATTGTGATTTTGTCAGTGGGATCCAACTGGATCCCGTCTGGGATAAGTCTGGGTTTTTGACGGGAAATCCCATATTGAACCCCGTTATTTTTTCATTTACCGCGGGTTTTCTCAACTTTTTATAGTTTGTTTTTTCGCAGATTTTTTGTATCTCGAATCTGCGAAATAATGTGACAATTTTTTATTAAAAAGCGTTGCATTTTTTAGATAAAATTAAAAAGTAAAGGTTATATATATATTATCTATATTGAATTCGCTGTCAGTGCAATAAAATGTATTAGGCAAATAAATATTTGGTCTGACAATTTTTACGAATCAATTGAAAAAACAGATTTGAATTTCATAATATTTTGAAGCAAGAAAAAACTAATATTATACAAGGATTTGATGCAAAACTGTTCGACGATATTCTGCCACAGTAGTTCTTTCATATCGCCACAATAATCGCATGACAAAATTCTGCTTTAAATTTATCGTTATCGTTTTCTTTGGTGCTTTCATCCACTTTTACACTAATTTTATAAATTAAAAATAAACATTTGAATAATATAATAAATTATAGCATATATATTTACAAAGTATAGATAAAAATATTTATTGATAATATTATTTAGGGAATAACATGCAGTGTGCCATACCATGCCATATCTTGCATATAACTAACAAACACTAGGCAAACGAAAACACACGTACAAATCACAAGCTAACTCAATACAATATATAAATCGATAAACGTGTTAGCCAGATTGAAGTAGAGGCCCAGGGCAGGTCAATTAATTATTCACATAGTTTGTTGTTACAAAAATAATACAAATAAAAAATAAAATAAACATAACATTATATAATAAAATATAAAAATAAAAACTGGAGAGCTGAAGCCTCGACACCATGAATAACAGTGTTTCAACTTCTTTAGTTGGCATCACCTAGTTTTAAAGTTTCTTCAGTTTTTCTTTTCAACAGGCATCCTGCAGGGAATCTAAAACAATGTTATTTCACGATAAATAATTGATGTTAATAATTAGACATGACATAAATAGACTTGTAAACAACAATAATAATATGAATTCTGTTACCATTTAAAATTTAAAGGCTTGAATTTAACCTGACATCAAACCAATAAATCAGTTGGTGAGGGTTTAATATCTTTTACATAATTTAATAAATGCAAAAATAATCAATATCACTAACATTTTGATTGTACCTAATTAAAAAAATAATCATTTTAGGCTATATTATTACTTGAAAATAATTATTTGTTACAATTTAAACATGTTGAAAAAAATTAAAAACAATAGTAATTTTGACCACAATAAATTTTGTAATAAAATTATTTTCACAATGAAAATTTACAATTATAAACAAGTGTAGAGTACTTATATTATTATATATAATAGTTATATTCATGATAAGTCTAACATAACGTATTTTAATTATTGTGGATCAGAATTTATTGTTTAATTTCATGTTGTCTTAGAGCTACATTTTGTGATTATATATTAGACTTATTTCACAGTAGATTCTAAAATATATAACACCCTATCATTGGTTTAAAAAATCATTATACATAGATAACTTTTAAACTTTACTACATTGTGACAATGGCAACATGTATTGACGACAATACATGCTGCTATTAAACTAATAAAAAATTGACTATTGAAATCATATTGCATGAATAACATACATGCTTTACCATATATAAATATTATTACTAGTACATATTATTCTATTAATCAACAGATAAATGAAAATAAAAATAAAAACAAACTATCATTGAGGTACCAAATGAAGTTTATGTGAAAAATCCTTTAAATGTATATTTATTCCAAACCATGTCACACTACTGTATATGTAGTTTTAAAAATGTTTTTTATCATATATATTTATAAACTTTTAATGAAAATAATGTATTCTTGAACTAAAAATATGTGCTATCTTAATAACATTCACATTTTCTAGAGATTTACAGTCCATCTTCTATTCACAGAACTTATCCATTCACAGAAGCCCAGGTCAATATTAGGAAAAACCTGCATATTTTGCAAATTCTATATATTTTTAATATACAGAAATTATTTTATCAGGGTTGCCACTATAATTTTTAAAGTTTTTCCTTGAGTATTCCCTGAGTAAAGAAAATTTTTCTTTGAGTTGAACTCTTTAAGTTCCCTGAGTTTTCCCTGACTTTTTTTCTTTCTAGTTCATCAACAAGATTATTATTTTCCTTAATTAAATACAATCTTAATCTGACAAACTAAAACTTTTACAACAACACCCACAACTAGCAAACTTATTATTATATGATATTTTTGAAAAAATTATTGTACAAAATTAAAAAAAAAAAATATTTTCCCTGAGTTTTCCCTGAATTTTATGGAAATTTTAGAAAATCTCTGAGTGTTCCAGGTTTTCTCTAGGATTCATACTACAACCAGGTATTCCAGGTTTTCTAGGTTGAGTGGCAAGCCTGTTTATATATTTTATCAAACTCTGTAAACTAATAGTTTGAGATATTAAAACTCGGGGAAAGTAAAATTTTACTGAACTTTATGAAGCAAAAATATTCAAAATAATGTTGTCAGATTAAGTGTTAACTTACTAGATTAAGATGAACCATTTCATATATAACTAATATGTAAAAAACTAGCATTTATTGAAGTAATGCATTTTTTGTTGTTAATCATAAATCAACACAAACCAACTCTAAAAACAAAACATAGATAATATTTAACCTTTTTAATAAATTCAATAGTTTTATTAAAATTTAAAATTTAATTAAGTTGTATACAAAAATAACATAGATAAAAAAATTTATTACCAAAAAAATTTGATATCTTTTTTATAACTTTGTAAATAAACATATTATATATATATATTTTTTTTTTTTTTTTTTTTTTTTTTTTTTTTAACATCTTCACTTCCAACAAGGCTGCAAGCAACCACTATAAGAGTTGGAAGTTACTGGAAGAGAAAAGACTAAATCTGTAGAGCAAGATAACAATTGACTGATGACTTAAAAGATTGCAAATTATATGAATCAGGAAAGCAAGATGAAGGAAGCGAATTCCAAAGAACTGATGTTCGAGGAAAAAAACTAGAAGAATAAGAGTTTTTGAAGCACTTAGGAACAGTCACAGAAAAAGGATGAGACTTAATTGAATGGCGAGTAACACGAGAATGAATTTTAGTAGATGGCACAAGGGACGCTAGCTCTTTAGAGCAGTGCCCATTATAGTATTTGTAGAAAAGAGAAAGAGAAGCAACATTACGACGATGTGACAAAGGTTGGAGATTGGCTGCCAGAGCAGGTCCAACTATGTTTACAATTCGTTTTTGCACCTTGTCTAAAAGAGAAAGAGCATCATTAGAAGATCCGCCCCAGATGTGGCAACAGTATTCCATACAGGGACGGATTTGAGATTTATAGAGATAGAGAATAGAATCTGGAGTAAGAAAGTGTCGAGCTCGATAAAGAGATGCAACCTTAGCAGATGCTAATTTTGCAATGGATTTGATATACGGTTTAAAAGAAAGATCAGAAGTAAGAGTTAATCCTAGAAGATGAATGGTAGATGACTCATCTAGTACATTACCATTCATAAATATAGGAAGATCTAAATTATTACGATAACGATTGGCCGAATAAAATTGAGTTTTATCTGAATTAAAGTTCACCAGCCACTGTGAGCCCCATGCTGTAGCAGAAGTGAGATCCTTTTCAAGCTCAGATACCCCCTCCAAGCAATCAGAGAGTGTAGGCTTCTTATCATGACAAGAGTAAATGGTAGTGTCGTCAGCGAATAATGCCACCTTAGATGTGAGAATATCTGGAAGATTGTTAATGTAAATTAAAAAGAGTATAGGGCCAAGGATTGAACCTTGAGGAACCCCTGAAGTTACAGGATGTGAAGAAGAGTGTTGTCCATCGAGGACAACTTTTATACTACGATTGGAAAGAAAGGACTCAATAATCTTAAAGACGTTACCAGCTACACCATAAGAAGAAAGCTTATGGAGAAGACCAGCATGCCAAACTTTATCAAAAGCTTTAGAAATGTCAAGTGCGATAGCCTTAACCTCTCCACCTCTATCTAATGCACGGTAAAACCTATCGGTTATTACTGTTAGCACATCAGCTGTAGAACGAGAAGACCGAAATCCATATTGATGGTCAGAAAGTAAGTTATTTGATTCAAGATGAGAGATTAAGTGTTTGTTAATTAAAGATTCAAAAACCTTGCTTATGACAGGAAGAAGACTAATGGGACGGTAGTTAGATGAATCAGATCGCTCTCCGGAATTTTTGAAAATAGGGATAACAGATGCTGCTTTCCAGCATGATGGAAAACAAGACTCTGATAAGCACTTGTTAAATAGTTTAGAAAGTATGGATAAAAGCTCCGGAGAACACCTCTGCAAAACTACAACAGGAATGTTGTCAGGACCACAAGCTGTTGAAGAGTCTAAGCAGGAAATTACTTTAGATACAGAAGCTGAAGTGATGCGAATGTCAAGCAAGGGATCAACCTGTTTGACGGCTATGTCAGGTAAAACGCAACTAGTGGAATCAAGAGATGATATTGATGAAAAGTTCTTAGCAAACAATTCAGCTTTGTCTTTAGGTGAGGTGACAAAGTCTGAACCATACAAGAGAGAAGGAATAACAGATTTGCCCTTATTATTGATACTGTTAAAGATTCTCCAGAAGTCACGAGAGCCTAATTTTTGTGATGAGATACGAGATTTAATGACCTGGGAATAGCGAGTTTTGGCGTCAGACAAAACCTTTTTACAATGGTTTCTGGCGATAGTGAACAGATGTCTGTTTTCTGGAGAATTGTTTTGCTGATAGATATGGAAGTAACGGTTTCGATTAGAAATTGCTGCAGCGCAATGTGAGGAAAACCAAGGAGAAGAGTGAGGCTTAACCTGGAATCGTCGAGAGGGAATAAAAGATTCCATGCCAGCCTGAATCCACAAAGTTATGTAAGAAGCACATTTGTCAGCAGGAAGACAAAAGATTTCTACCCAAGGGCCATCACGAAGAAAATCACGGAAAGAGTCCTAGTCAGCTTTAAGGTAGTTGTATGTGGTACGATGATAGGGGGATTCTGATGAAGTAGAAGAATTTGATAATAGTTTTAGAGAGATCAAACCGTGATCAGAAGTACCTAAGGGTGAATGTGGAGAAATTGAGCACTGACTAGGATCCAAAACAAGACATAAGTCGAGTAGAGAAGGTAAATGATTAGGGTTGTCTGGAAAACGAGTTGGAAAGTTGACTATTTGAGTTAGAGATTGAGAAAGGCAAAAGTTGAGGGCCTTGACGCCAGCAGAGTCACTGACACTAGAGCTAAGCCAATCGGTGTGATGGGCATTAAAGTCACCAACAACGACGATATTGGCCGATGGATAAAGAGAGAGGGCTTGGTCAATTTGATCAGAAATAACATCAAGAATAGTGCAATCTTGGGATGAAGGAGAGCGATATAGAACAAAGAGAAAGGCGATAGAGTGAAGTTGTGCTAAACGAAAGCACATAAATGAATAGTCTGTAGATTCAAACCTAGTTTCACGACAAATGGGTGAGTTCTTACTAATGTAGATGCCCAGGCCAAGCATGTGATTATTGGAGTCTTTACGAATTAAAGGAAGATAACCATCAACACTAAGATCACAAGATGGGACAGCCAAACTTAAATTAGTCTCACAAAGAGCAAGTAGGTCTGGTGAACTTTGCAAGAGATAAGACTCAACAGAAGAAAAGTTACTTCGAAGACCACGAATATTAGTAAATGATAGGTTTAGAGAACTTGGTGATGACAATGGTTTTTTGTGTTTTTTAGTTTTAGGTACTTTAGTCATTTTAAATTTATAAAGAACTTGACTCAAGTATAGATAGTACTCAGTACACTATTTAACAACTAAGCAATAGCCTCATTACTCTTAATAAACCCTAAGCCGTAACAAAGGGCTCCAAATGTGGCCTCTGCAATGCACACCAAAAGTACAAACAGGGACACCATCCATGCGCAACATGGCACTGTTAGTACTCTGATATTTTTCGGCTGTTGATGGAATCAGCCTCTCTGAGAGCTACCACAGAGTTCGGGAAACCTGACTACCAGCCGGCCTCAGAACCATAAAACTGAGTTTTAGAGCTGTACCCTCATTAGGAGATAATAGAATGAGTTGCCCAGTCATAAAAATAGAGACACAAGCAATACCCACGCATTGAGTCAAGAAGATCCAGCGTTCAACATCCTAAACTGGAAACAATGTATTAAGAATACATCTGCGCCAGCCTAATAGATGAGGAAGGGGTGCAAGGCTGGTCAACAGATAGAATCTGTTTACCCCTTAAGTCTTTGCCTAGGAGGCCTTCTACAAGACAGCAGCTGGATGCATGTAACATCTGCCCAAGATGAGTATTTTTATCGAGACACCATCTCTAGCCTTTACTCAACCAAGAGCCCCAAGGCAGGGGGTGTTTTAATTCGGAGTTAACTTCTCCTAGCCTTTGCCTAAAAAAGCGTATCCTACAAGGCAGCAGGACATGGAGCAGGTTGTACTGGGTTACATGTTACCAGTAGCAGGAAAACCTGACCTGACCTTAAATATGACTATATGATATCGTATAATAACACAATGAAATTAACTTACTGTAGCAAGTGAAAAATACAAAACACTCATAATTATTGAAAGATTCAGTTTTTGCAATAATTAGTATCAAAACTACATTTTCATTTTTATATTGCACTTAAGTAGCATTTTATGATTGTAATAAGTAAGTTATCACAACAAAATGTGATAACTTTCTTATTACTTCAGATAAATAAAGCTAAACATTAAAACATCTAAAAAATTTTATTATTACTTACTATTATGTACAAATAATTCACAATATAAATAATTTAAACAATTTTTCATACAAAACCTTATATTATAACTTATAATATAAGTTACAGTATTTATAATATAAGTATATTATTAATTATATAAACTATAGAAAATGTAAAACATTTATGTATTTATAAATAATATGTAAAGTTTAGATAAGGCAGTATTATTTAGTAAAACCTTACCATGTTTTGTAAAGTGTCATTGAGATTTGCTTGAAAAAGATAATTTAAAATGAAACACACTAACTTAGTGTATTTCATTATATCTAAATATTGCTATTAAAATATTTATACTTTTATTATAAATTAAAACTGATATGTAAATAATTATTTTTTGCAAAAATACTAAAAAAAAAACAAATTAAGTTCCGGTTCACTTTAAATGCAAGTGTATATTCAATCCGATTCAACCTGTGTTACTGCATATGTCATTTTAAAAGATTTTATCATATTTTCAAGCATAATTTTTGCCGCAATCGTTGCACCATATGGGATCCATCATTTACCCAGTACAAATCCCAGCCATAACTCAGTTCCAATAATCTAGTTACATTCCAGCTGGGACCCAGTTGTTGTGGTTAACTGGGCAGTTTATCATTTTTATTACTAATTACTATTATTTACAAGTAATTTACAACACAAATTATTTAAATACTTTTTCCTATAAAACCTTATACTACAAATTAAAATTAAAGTTATAATATTTATAATATAACTCAAATTATAAATATTATCACTTTACAAAACATAGTATTACTATGTTTTGTAATGCATAATATAAATGTAAAATTTAACATTTTCTATAAGTTATATATTTGATAATATATTACTTATACTATGAGAAATATATTAACTATATTACTTATAAAATATGTAAAATCTTACATTTAATAAATGTATGATTTTAATTTTTTTCATACTATGAAAAAAATTAATAATTAGTTTTACATACCTATGAATCATAGGTATGTAAAACTTGCATATTATTTATTAATAAATAAACCATTTATTAAATGATTTATGTGAAAATAAATAATATGTAAAGTTTACGTACAGGTGCTACATAGTAAAACTTTGCTATGTTTTGTAAATAAAATTTGTCAAAGTCATTTTACAAAACATTGCAAATTCAAAGGTTTTTCGAAAAGTTTATGAGATTTGTTTGAAAAAAACATTAAAATTAAACACACTAAGCCATTACTGTAAGCACACTAAACCATATAAACTATTTTCAAAAAATTTAACATTGTAGTTTTTTAATTTTATTTCAACAAAACTTCTTAATAAGAACGATGCCTGATTAGAAATACACGCTACCATTAAACTACGCGTCCCATCTTCAAACCAGCCGTAAACCATTACGGAATCCCAGTAAAAACCCAGACTTTATTTGCGGCAATATTTTTACACCATATGGGACCTATCTGGCACCCAGAACAAATCCCAGTAATTCCAGCTCAATTCCAGCTGGGACCCAACTGGGTTGGTTTACTGGGATATATATATATATATATATATATATATATATATATATATATATATATATATATATATATATATATATATATATATATATATATATATATATATATATATATATATATATATATATATATGTATATTATATATAGGGCCGTCCCGATGGAGGGTGTAGGGAGTGTTCCATCACCCCAAAGCTGTTATATAAGCATTTCAGTTAGCACATTGAGCAAGTTTTAAACTATTGTTGGCAAATTACAAATATTGAGGATATTTTTTTTTTTGTCTTTTTTTTTATTAGAATAGCTATATTTATATATAAAATATATAAATAACGAAATAAACATGTAATTATATAATACAAAAAAAAATAAGATGAAGAAAAATACAAAATATTTTTAATGGACAACTTTTATCAGTGTAAGTATCAAAAATATTACTTTTCAATGCATGTATTTGTCATAAAATAACTTTTTTAGATTTATATTTACAGATCTTATGTATTATAACAGTAATGAAAGATTTTGTAGGTATTCTTAGTGTACAAAACATCTTTTTTACATGTTCAGTATTCCTCATCAACTGACTATTAATCGAAGACCACTGTTTTGTTATAACTTATGTATTGCAAAAAGTAGCAAAATTTTAATAACTCACGGCTATTTACATACATTTAGCATTAGATTTACATAATCAAATGTTTGGAAGATATTGGAAAATAGTTTATCTAATAGTAAATGGTTTATCTAATAGTAAAGGTTAGTACCAAAAAAAAATATTGAAAACTGTCTGTTTTCGGTGCTTAAAAACTAAAGTTTACACTTACGCTAAATTGTTTATTAAAGTCTAAGCAAAAAATATATATATATTTTAAAATAAAAGTCAATAAAATTAATTTAATACAATAATAACATAAGAAAGTTAAAAATAAAAATGCAAAATAGTGTTTTGAAACACATGTCAAACTCACGTGTAAATAACCGCATAAAATAAGGCCTAAATTAATATTTTATGTTTTTATAACTACAAAATTTCTCCGGAGACTACATAGTTTGTCAAAAAAAAAACACTATTATATCCTTAGATAACAAAGGGTATTGTAAAATCGTCAAAAAAAAACAGCGCCTATTTAATAAATTTGTCAAAAAAAGGGGTCAGGGCAATAACATCCGTTTTTGCCATGTATAATAACATCCGTGAAACAGCATCCCAAATTTCATTGATGTATTATAACATCCATGCAATAACATCCCAAATTATATTGATGTATAATAATATTCGTGCAACTACATCTGTAGATTTTTCGGATGCAACTACACCCGAATTTATTTTTTTTTAATGCATAATTTTAACCAGATGTAGTTACACATCAGATTTTTTTCGGATGTAACTACATCCGCCAAAAGAAATAAATATTATAATGCATTGTTTTAAGCATAACAATTTTTTTTTTTTAATTATTTAATAGACTGCCTGCCCAAACCAATCACTCAGTCAATGTAGCAGCACTCCGTTGCGAGTCAGGCTATTTGTCAGTCGATGTAGCAGCACTTTTATAATATAATAATTACATATGTAACAACATACGGATTTTTATTTTTAATAATATATAATTTTAACCAGATGTAGTTACACATTTTTTTTTTCGGGTGTAACTATATCCGGGAAAAAAGTAATTTAAAAATGCATTATTTTAACCAGATGTAATTACACATCTCATTTTTTTTGTATGTAATTACGTCCGGAAATTTATTTTATTTATTTTCAATAATGCATTATTTTAGGCAGATGTAGTTACACATCGAGAAAAACTCTCGGATGTAGTTACATCTTTCTAAAGATGTTATTAGACATCAATGAAATTTCGGATGTTGTTGCACAGATGTTAATTTAGTATAGAAAAAAAAGCGGATGATCTTACACAAAAATGTGTTATTTCACTACTCCACGGATGTTGTTGGACAGATGTAGTAATCTTTTCCCAATAAAAGAACACTTCAAAATTATATTAAGGGCTTGTTTATATGGAAAGCGGGCTGGCTCATCTGCCGAGCTAGCCCGTTTACCGTGATCTCGACGTCATCATTATTTCAAATTAATTTTATTTTGCGTTTATATAAATAAACGAACTAGCCCGGATGGCGAAATCTCGCTAAGATCTTGGCAAACGGGCTGGTTATTTTGTCATATAAATTTGTACGCATGCGTACAAATTCTTATATTTCTTTAAAATGAAAGCTTCGGTGTATTATTACAACTGTTAACTTCCGCGTACTTACAACTTTATTTGTTTTGTTTTAAAATTTACAATTATACCTGTTTCAATTTTATTGTTTGCAGTTTAATTATATTGATGGTAACTCTCATTTAAAACTGCTGGTTTTATTGATAAAATAAAAAGAAAAACTTTAAATGGGATCATAATATGGTAAAAACCCTTTTAAACTATGCTAAAAGCTATAAAGCAAGAATGCTTTATAAAAATATTAGCTTTAATGCCTATAAAGTTAGTATATAGAAAACTTTGCTTATCTATAGCCTGTATGATAATATTAAACTTTTAAGATGCATTTTTTATGTTATAATTTTAGTTAAACAAATTGTTTAAATACAACGCGTTGCTTTCCTTACCCGCTATGTTTAAATTTATGATTTTATCTATAAAGAGGCCAGCCCGGCTAATAAAAGCAGGGCTGACCTTAATTTCAATTTTTTTGTTTTGGCAAAAAATAGCTAATATATTCATATAAACGCAATTTTAAAACTGGCTCGTTTTCTGGGCTAGCTCGGCAAACGGGCTAGTCCTTGTCCATATAAACAGGCCTTAGGTATAAAAACTAAAAGCGTCTTTTTGAATCAATTTGAAGACGTTCTAAAAAATATTATATATAAAAAAAGGAACTATTGGATACAACGTTTTTGTTAAAATCTAAAAAGTAATTAGTAACTAGTAACAAATTAGTCGTTGAATTAAATTGTAAATCATAAAACTAATTTGGATTCTCGTCAACTTAATCAAGTCTAAATTTTAAAATTATATCAAAAACAATGTTTGATTTACATTAGTTTGTACTTTGAAGTATAATGAAATTACTATTTAGTAATTACTAATTACAAATGAGTTATTTTTATTACTAATTACAAATGAGAGGAGTTATTTTTATTCCGCCTATTAGTTTATTGCGTTTAAATTAATTATCTGTTGTTAGAAATCAGTCAAATTATAATTTAAAAAGTAATATATTCTCCATGCTCAGGCAACAGCCCGTTCTTTTGGCTTAAAATATGTTTCCCGCTGTGTCGAACAGAGGTTCACTTTTAACGGATGAAGGAGGTGCGCACAAAATTTTCATTGAAAGCCTTGCTAAACCTTACTTGTTAGTGTCTTTATCGGATGATTTTAAATACCCCACCACTTATAAGGGAATTCATTTTTTGGTAATGTTGGTGGGCTAAAGTAGAAGTTGACTTCGTCCATGTTGAATCAAAACTATGTATCAATTTAATGTTTGAACTAATATTTTAAATCTTTAATCAAGTAAGGAAAAAATAATACTTTTATTTAACTTTAATCTTTCCATAATATAAATATAATATAGTTTTGTCTACAGGCAATTCTGGTGTGCAAATAAACCTGTAAATTAATTTCTAGTAACAGAGCTGAATGCAACAAAATAATTCATTTAAAAACTAACATCAATTTTCAATTAAATTTGTAACAAATTAAAAAGATAACAATTTTATTTAGATATCTTTTATTCGTACCATTTTCCTTTTAAATTTCCTTTTAAAGTTTTCCTCTAGGATTTTTATTACTATAATTCTTTTCTCCTTGATTTTTTCTCCTTGATTAATGTTTTTACATTGAATTTTTTCGTTTATACCCAATTGGTCTAAGAAGCTGTGTAGGCCCATGCTTATTTGTTTTATTTTTTGATTAGACAATCATTACGATCAGAGCCTTTAACGAAATCAATTTCTATTGCTTGTTGTAAATGAGTATTTACAAAAAGCAAGCCAATTTTAAGGCAAGGGTACTACCGCTTTCATTTAGAGTAACAGTACTCTAAATAAAAGCGGTAATACCCTTGATATAAAATTTCCTTAAACATACTATGATCTGTTTCATTAAAAAGTTTGATTTGAAACGGGGTTTGAGCACCATTACAATTTTCAGACGAACATTACTTTTGTTTAAAATCAGTTTT